AATATTGATAAAAATCATGTTTAGATGTTTCATAAATACTTGTTGTTTCAAATTGATTTAAACAACTATTTAAATAATCAAATGTTAATCGACGTTTTTTTTTGATTTTCTCAATTTTATATTTATCTTGTTTAATTAATTTTCTATCTTTAATAAGAAAACGTCTTGTTAATGATGGTTGATATGGATTTGATGAATTCGTTTGTTTATGATAATAATATGTTCGATGATTTGGATAACAAATAGTTGTAAATGAATTATTTTTAAGTGTTCATTGCGTATAATTTCTATGAATAGGTAATGAAGTTTCTGAAGATTATTTATCTATTGATTCAATACATGTATGAAAACTTTGTGTTGTTGATGATGATAATGATTGAAGTTGAGATGAACGAATTTCAATTATTGATTTATATGGTGATGAATTATTTGAATTTGAACTTTTATTTAACTTCTTGAAATAATATTAAATTATTTTTTTTTATTTAAATTTAATTACTTTAATTACTTTTAGTTCGAGTATTTTTATTATCTTGACTTGTTTGTTTATGACTTTCTGTTTCATCACTAATTAAATCATGTGAATTATCAGTTATATCAATGTCATCTGTAAATAATTCTTCTAATTTTGAATGGATCAACTTTTCCATATCAATTTGAATTACTTCCAGTATCAAAATTATTACTCATTTTCTATTTAATTCAACAATTTAATTAATAGAAAAGAAAATATTTTATTTCTTTTCTTTTTTTTCGTTTATTTCTGTAGAAAATCCTTCAACAAGAATAGCAATAAGTAAATTAAATAAAACATAATTTCCAAATGTCATGAATGCAATAAATTACAAAACTGTTCATACACTTGTATTTCCCATGCCATTGTAAAGTACTTCATTCCAATCTTCTTGAGTTAAAACCTATTTGAAAAATATTTTTTGCGAATCATTATCTTATGTGATTAGCTGTGTTTTAAGCAAGCAGGCATATAGCAATAGGTATATAGTGCAAAAATTTAAGCAATGACTATACATATATATATAAAGTGAGCAAACAAGATAAGAGATACAGAATGGTTTCCAATGAGAATTTATCGAAGAAGATCGTTCTCTATCATTGTCT